ACCTATTTACTTTTTCGCCCTTACTTCATAAGAAGAGAAAGTATTGTAAAAAAGCGCCGGAAAACGCCGAATTTTCGACAGAAAACTCTTATTAACGGCCCCTGGTAACAAAAAAGTGGATAAATCTTCTTCCTATATATACCAAATTTCGTCTTCTAATAAGTCGTGTAGTCAGGATCCATGTTTTGTAGGTTCTTGATACCGAAATATCGATTGACGGCAAAACGTATTTCTTACCATCTATCCGTTCATGTTCAACGCTAGTATCTGAACCGTTCAGCCAATTTTCTCCCAAATAGATATTCCGTGACCGATTTGAATGAATTCGGATGTTTGCGAGTTTGAAAGGAAATATTTTGATTTTTGAGGGTACTTCACGTAAAGCGTCAGGATTTTCAAAATTTTCTAAAAAATAACACATAATTTTTTATTAAACTTTGTCCTAAGATTCTCTAAAAAAGGCCATGACAAGCTTTAAAAAAAAGAGTAGATTTCAAGTAATTTGTCTCCCGTGACCTTGATACCCTTCCCCAGAACGCTCAGTTTAGGAAGCGCCGTTCACATTTTTCTTTCCCCAATTGTCACACGCAAACCTCCGCCGTTGTTTGTAAATTATCTCTTTGGGCCCAAAATCTGAAGTATAATCACTATTTTGCATTACAGCTTTTGGATTCAACCTTATGGGGCACTGGTAACGCTGAATGAGAATTTAGTACAGGCAACTAGGACTGTTTCTGTAGTTTTTTTTATTTTCGAAATACATGTTGGCAATTTGAAAACGCGTCGTGTTTAATGAGAGGTTTCCGTTAGTACGTAAAAAAAATCTTTACCATTTTGAAAGAAACTGACAAATGAGAAATTGCCCGATAATTTAGAATTTAATTTTTGTAGCCTTTCTTGAAGAGCGGCTTAATCTTAACTATTTCGAAACACTACAAAGTTCCGGTGCATATAGATGTATTAAATGAGTGAGTTAACGGGTTCTTAACAGAAAATCCGGAAATTGACCTAAACTAGTCGAATATTAATTTTTTAGTTTACCGATTATTTTGAGAATTTCATAGGAATACTTTTCGAAAATGAACATCTTGTCAAAACTTTTGGGGGTTAAACATGTAAGTCTCTTTGATTAACTTGTGAAGTGTCACGCAAATGCAATCGTCAAACTATTGCAAAACTGTTACCAATACAATGGCATTTTTGTGGCCGGATGGTGTTAAGCACATCCGATATCGATCCTTCCCACTCAAACTAAAATTCTACTCAATACCATGGTGCTCTACAATCGCTCCCATCTGTTATCTACTTTTTATCTACGCGTCCAAATTGGAAAGTTCATGGAAAGTCCGCACCACCTCCAAAGTTAATGAAGTCAACAGACGCTTAGGTACTTTTCGCCCAGTAATTAACCGTCTAATTAAAGCTCCATTCTACTATCCTTATCTACAAAGCCAATTTACACCCGCTCACGTACGCTTGTCCAGTTTGGTATCAACAAAAGTAGTTTAGTAATCAACAAAATTCAAATATTCCAGAATAAGGTTCTGAGAATTGCAGTGAACGCTCCTTGGTATATAAGCAACGCAAATATCCACAAAGACTTAGCCATAGAACCCGTCCTAACATACATCACCAAACTTTCCCATGCATTGTTCTAACATCTACCCTCAGCTACCGATGCATCTCAGTTCAATCTAGGTAAAGAGCATCCCGTAGAACCTCGTCTACGCAACCGACTCCCCTTTCACATCTTCCTCCGTAATCTGGCTGATATTAGATAATGAAATAAATACTCTTCCCATCAACAGTCAACAATATGACATTCCCCCACTTTAATACTCGCACTGCTTCATTCTCACGTTTAAAGGGAGGTTGCCTTAGCCATCCCCTTGGCATATATTTAATCTGAAGATGCTCGCTCCTAACAACTGAAAAGGCGAATGGCTGAGCGTGTATAACCACCCCATTCTGCAATTTTAAGAAAAGATTTAAGTATGCTCTATTGACTCGTGCGATGTAGAGCTCTCATTTTAACAGTTCAAGGCTGTCGAAAAGTTTCATTGCTGAAAATTTGAAACAAATTTGTTTCTTGTTGTTACAGAAATAGGATTAAGAAGAATGTTTAATTTTGGTAAAGAAGGGAGAATGGAAAGCAAAAAATAAAGAAATTGCCCCCGATAATTTAAAAAATTTTAAATTTTTTTGGTAGCCTTTCTTGAAGAGCGGCTTAATTCTAACTATTTGAAACCTAACAAAGTTCCGGTGCAATAAGATTGATTAAATGTGTGAGTTAACGGGTCTTTAACAGAAAAATCGAAGAATTGAACCAAACTGTCGAATATTATTTTTTTTAGTTTACCGCGATTATTTTGAGAATTTCATAGAATACTTTTTCGAAAACTGAACATCTTGTCAAAATTTTGTGGGGTTAAAAGTGTAGGTCTCTTTGTTTAATTGGTAAGTGTCCACGCAAAATGCTATAGCTGCTATGTGTGCAAGCCAGGGGATATTGGCAAAACTCTGTTTACCAATACCAATATGGCATTCTCATATTGACTGGCCGGATGAAAGTGTAGTATAATAAAGAAGATACGTTGAAGTTTTCATCCGATATCATCCTTCCCACTCAAACTAAAATTCCACTCAATACCATGGTGCTCTACAACCTCCCATCGTTATCTACATTTTTATCTAGCGTCCAAATTGGAAAGTTCATGGAAGTCCGCCACCCCTCCAAAGTTATTGAAGTCAACAGACGCTTAGGTACTTTTCGCCCAGTAATTAACCGTCAATTAAAGCTCCATTCTACTATCCTATCTACAAAGCAATTTACACCCGCTCACGTACGCTTGTCCAGTTTGGTATCAACAAAAGTAGTTTAGTAATCAACAACAAATTCAAATATTCCAGAATAAGGTTCTCAGAATTGCAGTGAAGCGCTCCTTGGTAATATAAGCACCAGAAATATCCACAAAGACTTAGCCATAGAACCCGTCCTAACATACATCACCAAACTTTCCATGCATTGTTCTAAAATCTACCCTCAGCTACCGGTGCATCTCATGTTCAATCTAGGAAAGAGCATCCCGTAGAACCTCGTCTACGCAACCGACTCCCCTTTCACATCTCCTCCGTAATCTGGCTGTATTAGATAATGAAATAAAATACTCCTCCCATAACAGTCAACAATTGACATTCCCCCCTTTAATACTCGCACTGCTTCATTCTCACGTTTAAAGGGAGGTTGCCTTAGCCATCCCCTTGGCATATATTTAATCTGAAGATGCTCGCTCTAGCACTGAAAAGCCGAATGGCTGCAGTGTCTAAGGCCATATTCGGCGGAATTCCGCCGTTTTCAGCGGATTTTGAACCTCGTAACGGCGAAAAAATTAGTATTCGCGGATAATGGAAGAAACGGCGGAAAATAACAAAGACGGGTGCGAAAATAAGCCGGAATTTCAAATCTTCACTATTAAGGCCTGGACACAGCGTGTTCGAGCCAAGAAACAATTTTAAAAATAATAATAAAAGACAAGACAATTCAGTCTTGCATCAAAGTGCTTCCTTTATTATGATTTTAAAATATTGGGGCTCGAATACGCCAATAACGACAGCTATGACCAAGAATTATAGCAATTGTCCTTATCTA